GCTGCAGAGACAGACTTTGTTGTCTAGGTAGGAGCCCGGCGTATTCAGAGCTGCACGACCTTCTGTCCCTTGCAATCCTGGTGCCATCTGATAAAGAGCTTGGCCTTTCTCCAGCTTCATGCAGAGATGTCCTGGGCTGGCAGGTGGCTCAACAAATGCAGCAAATGAGGAGAATGAAGGAGAAATCTAGCCCAGAGCAGAAGCAGCTGAAGGTGAAGGAACTGCGTTTCCCAGCACATTACAGAAACCAGTGGGCAGAAGTGTGTCAGTGGAAATCCAAGCGGATGCACCTCCCAGAAGAAGCAGCAGAAGTTGGCTTAGCAGCAGGAGGTGTTTCTGAGATGGATGCCCAGGAGGCTTCTTGAAGTTCAGAAGATGCCCTGAACATCTGCTTCCTCCATGGCAGGCTAAGACTAGATCTGCCTGTGGTCCCTCCAGCCAGTGAGTGCAATAGGGACTTAACTGTGACTGAGTCTCAAGTGGTTTCTTGCTGCCTCCTGACTCACTGTCAGCCCTCCTTGTCCTAATTTATTGCCTGAAAGTGCTAGTTTGGTCTGTACTGGCTGTAGCTATCGGTCCACATGGAAATGATCCTTCTTCCCAGGTGCTCCATACAGACATGGAAGGTTGCAGGAGCCACTCAGTTCCTCTACCCTTTAGTGTGACCCTCACCGCAAGCAGCGTGACACCACCCTGCCAGAAAGCAAAGGAGACTTCTTATCCTGCTGAGTGAGGAGCTGAGCTCACAGCATGGCCATCAGTCTGATTGCATGGACCATCTGCAGAAGTTAGGTCTGAAGACCTAACTCAAGGCCAAATTGAAGCTGGTTGGTGGAAAAGGATGGGAGGAGGATCAAGCAGTGCTTGGTCCCCTGGGCTTCTTTCAGTGGTGCTGTGTAAGAGCAGACAGAAGCAATGAAATATGTGGGGAGGTCCAGTCCTCCTCAGTGAGGAGCCCGGAGATTTCATCCAGGGCAAGTGAGACCTGCAGCTGGGTTGTGCTTGACACCTCCAGGCTCTAGGGATTTCCGGTGCAGATACTGGAAAGAGGCAGTGGGAAAGAGGATCCCTTGGTGTAGGTAATGTCCTGCATCCTTGCCCGTGTGTCACCATGGCCCTCCTGCCTTGCTTCCACAGTGCTGCCACCTCCTCCTCCAAACTCCAGACTCCAAGAGTGAAAAAGCACTAGAACTACCTAAAACAGTGCCCAAAAATCTCAGCTGCACAGTTTTAGGGACCAAAGGGTATTCAGGACAATATTCCTGCATGCCACTGGGGTCCCTAGCTGACCTTGGGGGTACCTGGAAGTCTTCTAACATCTAAATTTCTGCTAGCAGAGCTTCGTAAGTGCTTTATAACTGCAGCTTGGCAGGTGGACATTTGTTTAAACTCTCCAGCACCGAGCTCCTCACTGCTCGCCTCCCACCTATGTCAGGCCAGATTTCACAACCAGACACTTTCTTCTCCTTCAGCCCTTGCTGGCCCCAAACTGGTGCATGTTTTCAGGGCACACCCAACCTCTGTGAGCCATAGCAACCCCTCTGCTTGCTGAGATACAACTCAGGCTGAAATTCTTCATTTCCCTGCTGTAACTTACAGCTTTGGCCCCACTATCTGATGCTGTTGCCTTTTCCAAGGAGTGTAATGGAGACCAGCTATTGACTACAACATTAAGGCCCTTTTCCAGGACAAAGAAGACTTGTGTTTTTGTCACTGATACTGGTATCAGTATCACACCATGTCCTGTAACCTAGTTGTTAATTGCCCAGGAGTCGATGAGTTTGTGTCTTCTGAGGAACATGAACCTGCTCTGTCCTCCTGGGCGAGGGCTCAAACCAAAAGATCAGTTCCTCCACGGAGAAGAGCCATCTCCTCACCTGAATTCTCTGGGTTTGAAAGGCCATATTTCATAGTTCTTTGCGAAAAACAGCCCTTCAATACCAAACCTCACAGCTATATGTGCCTGTGGTCGTGTCGCTGTTATTGAGCCCCCAGGAGAGGATTCTTGGTACTTCTAGTTGCTCTTGAAGTCAGCTTTTAGTATTCCACGTGCCTGGAGTTGGCTCTGACTATACAGACTCATAACAGCTCCCAGATAGTCAAACTGCTTTCAATCAGCTCTGTTTTGATACGAGACCACCAAAACACCAAGACCTGAATCCACAGAGGAGCAGGGGTGAGCCGTGAGCAGGTCCTCCACATCTGTGAAGAACAGGATAACATTCCTGGAGCCATCACCATCAGAGGCAAGTTTAGACCCCGAGTCACAAGAGCCCAGCTCCCTCCCGTTACACCAGGACCAGCGAAGAGGAGACCATGCTATGTGTGCTCATGGTGGTCATCCTTTTGTTGTTTCCAGACACCAGGTGCTGCCTCTGGGGAATGAACTGCTGCTGAATTTCTTACTCTTTCTGCACCACAACCCAAGTAATGCTCTGTCACCTCCAACCCATCTCTTCTCCATTTCTCACCTGATGACATCACATAATGAACCTCTCCTGCATGCATGAGTTTCACCGGGCAACCGTTTGCCACCAGCAGCCCTCGTGAAGGCAAAGTTCTCCAAACTCTTTCCTTGCTTGGCTAAGACAAAGATAATTTGTGAATGTTGCTGTTTCTGTATTAGGTCTGGTTACTTTTCAAGGATCAGACTTTCCTTTGAACCCTCTGATTTGCGCCCTCCCAGCTCACTCTTCCCGAGGCTGGACCTCACTATGCAGCCCTGCAGAAAGCAGCTGGGGCTGTTCTCCTCCTGGTGTGTGTCTCTGCAATGTTGTGTTGCCCCTGGATACCAATTCCTGGTGAAAATAATGTCATTACCTCCCCCCACACCCCTTCCAGTTTAAAATAGATTCTGAATGAGCCTTATGGGGAAGGACAATCACGCAATTATATGTTTTCAGTGCAAACAAAGAGGAAACCAGGGGATGGGTATGGGACACAGCCTCTGTCTTCTCCAGGAGGCTGGGTCTTAGCCAGCCTGCAAGACATGGCTGAAGGATGCACAGACTCATGAGAAATAAGAGCCAACATTTTAGAATGAAGAAGTATCCACCATGAGAACATGAACCACAGGCACCAGCTTTCATAGCTGCCTCAACAGAGAGGTACCACACCAGGGCTGCTGAGAAGGGCCAGTTCCCCTGATGGCTCTAGCAGGGACTAATGGAAATGTTGATGAAGAGTGATTTTAAACAGTTCATGTTGCTCCAGGGAGAGAAGATTTTGGCTTTGAAACTCTTATTCTGAAATGCAGGGCAACAGCAAGACCAAGGTGTTAGGCCAAGCCTAGGGAAGAAGTGGCATTAGTCTGGCATTGACCTACCTACAACCTGGAGCATCACATGTGCGCTGGAACAGAAGATCTGAGCTCAGGCTTCGTAGTTACTGCATCCTCCCTTACTAGACCAGATGTGAAGACATGCTAGGAGGGAGTGGGTTGGCATCTGGAGTAGCTGCTGGCAGCCTTGGGCACGCTTTTCACTGGCAAGGACATACAGGCATCTCCAGCCTTCTCCAGAGACCAGGTAACAGGTCTTGTCCTAGCAGAAGTCTGTGCATCAGCAGTATGGACCTGGTCTGACCTGACAGTGGGGTGTCTTTCCAAAGAGGAGCTGCCCTGCATTTTCCCCTAATCCCTTGGCTTACAAAGCTGGGCTCACCTCATTCCCATAGGAATGGGCAGGCTGGAAGGACTTGGCAGTTTTCCTACACTGGGGACACAGGGAAAAGTCCATGCCAACCTCTGCCAACAACTTCTGGCAGCAAATGTCTCTTCACTGTGTGCACAAAGCGCGGGACAGGACGAGGGTGAGTATTTGACTAAGAGCTGTCCTGTCTCTCCACATCTCCTGCCCCATCAGCCTCTCATGCAGGGATGGTGAGTCTCACGTGTCCAGGTTTGGCTGGTTTCATGGGCCAAGGAGATGGTAACTAGCACCTCTTCTCCTGGCCCTGGTGTCAGCCTCTCCTTCCCT